GGCACCAATATCCTTGGTTAGTATTTTCGATTAGTGATAAAGCTTCGAGATATCATTCATCCTAATGGAAAATAGACACTATGTGAACTCTCCTATTCACCATTAACTCTAGGCAATGATTTTCAGTAACTTGTCTCACGATATGTACAAGTTTGAGTTAACTTTCGAGGCTGTTGCTTTCCAAATGTCTTCTACACTGACATTATTATCATGCCAGTACAGAAGGAAACATGCTCAATATTGTAGGTATGATTGTGTTTTGCACTGGTTTCGGCATCGTCATCTCTAAGCTCGGCGATCGAGCACGAATCATTGTTGATTTTTTCGTGATTCTCGATGCTGTCATCATGCGTTGGGTTGAGGCTCTAATGTGGTTGGTTCGTTCATTCATTGAAGCTCCGATGTTCCTCGTTCTCCAACTTGTATATTCTGAATTGCTGATCCACGAAATGAGAATGAAATTTCCATTGATGATAGCTTAATTGTTCGAAAGCAACGAATACACTCTTTTGCAAAAGCAAATAGTGAGTGGTCAATGGAATACCAATGAAATTGCAAAATTCTCATGAACATGCAAACAGCAAAAAATATTTCCGCTGATCAGGTTCGCTCCTCTCGGTATAGTTTGTTTGATAACGGCCAGTTTGCTGGAACTGGAGGATCTCAGTGATACGGCCCAAGTGCTCTTCATGTATGTGATAACGGTGATCGCTGGTCTTTTACTGCATACGATTGTTGTGATGCCCGCACTGTACTTCTTCATCACGCGAAAGAATCCGTTGACAATTGCTCAACGCATGTTGCACGCACTCGTCACTGCGTTCGGCACAGGATCAAGGTATGCACTCAGGCAATCATTTTGCAATGATCCACTTTCATTCGTTTATGATCACTGAAGAAAAGTTGATTTTGAAACATACACACGTGTGCATCTTACCCGAAACATTACGACAAACTCAAGCAGTTTCGTTTGATACAATATGATCTATAACAGTAATAATAGCATATAATAGGGCAAAAAAAGTATTTTCATAAAGTAGATGAAAATGAATTTGAAGTGGTGCCGCATTNCCCGTTTCGATGCAATGTCTTGAGGAAAAGTTGAAAGTGGACAGACGAGTAACACGTTTTGTGTTGCCTCTCGGAACAACAATCAATATGGTTGGTTGAAATCAGTTTCTCACTGTTCATTTGAGTACGCCGAATTATGTGGATAAGAAATTTGACGGAGGAAATGAATTCAGGACGGTAACGCTCTCTATGAAGCAGTTGCAGTTATTTTCATCGCTCAGCTCAACAATGTGTCGCTTTCCATAGCTGAAGTGATAACTGTAAGGTGGCGGTTATTTTAATGGAAATTCATTTCATCAATTCCAGTCTGTCACTTATCTTCTTCCAAGTATTGCTGAAAAAAGATTTTTCATGATGCGAAATGCTATGATTACAAAACTGAAAATGTATTCAGAAACTGCAGCCGTTCAAAATCAGTTCGCCGTGTTTTTTTTCTATTTTAAGATCATTTTTCAAACTACAGATATGAGATCAACGCATCCATTTCAATCTAACTAAGGGGCGAATACTGAAGTTTCGTTCAGATAACACTAGATTTCTTGAAACACGAACGAACCGTAAGCAATTTCAGCTTAACGGCTACAATAGCGTCGATTGGTATGGGTTCAGTGCCAGCCGGTTTAGTCAGTATTCTGCTCATCCTCAATACCATCGGTCTTCCAACCAAAGACGTTCCTCTGCTAATTACTGTCGATTGGCTCATGTTTGTTGTTGAACCAAAAATCTCAGTTTATCTATCCCAATAAGATCATTTTTATTTATTCCTGATTTTTAACTTGTACTGCCTTTCTCAGCNTTATTGTAATTCCCAAAAACAAAATTTTGCAAGAAGCTCTCAAATCTTAAGGATGTAAATATTTTTCAGCGATCGAATCCGAACATCAGTTAATGTGCTTGGCGATGGCTACGTGGCTGCGGCCGTAGCGCATATACTCAAGGATCGTCTCGATAAATCGAATCATACAAACGAATTTCGAGCCGCAGTCAAGGAAGAAATTGGTGAGAAATTGATGATTGCACAGAATTTTCATTATTCTTTATGCAATGTTCGATGACCTCGCACATTCCAATTATAATGGATCAAGTGTTCAAAGCTAGTTCAATCAAACAACTCATAGTCTTCTATCGTTACTAACTCAAATGGTTCCTTTAGAACTGCTGAAGTCTGCTACGACAAGTCGTTGCTCATCGATGAACTGGAATGATGTGGCTTCGCAGTCAGTATCGCCGAATCCTTCGCGTCTTAACTCAATGACGGTCTTCGGCGGCGGTAGGTTGTCATGGCGAAAAGCTTCAAATGCAGCCTTCTTTAAACCGAAAGTTTCGTTGAGTAGAGTACTGAATGTGTGATCAATCAGATCGTGATATCCTGTGCGATGAGAAGCGTGAATTATTCCGGTTTGCACAAAGCACAATCCATGTCTAATTCAGACTTATTGTTTGTAATCTGGCG